ATTAGTCCAGTAAAAAAGGAAATATATGTATACACATGATATATTTACAGGGCACTACGCGACCTAAAAGGCAACCTACCCGGACTCAGGGCAGCTTGCGTGAGCTTATCCTCGGTCAAATAATCTGAACAGAGAAGGCCTACAGCCGCCCAGGACAGTAGTGTTTTCCGAGTTTCAGAGTCCAACTCAGCCCCAGGGTCCTGGGTGGCGCCCCTCCAAGAAGTTGGGAAGAGCCACCCCTCGGGGTTACGAACCACAAAATAGTCCAACTTCCAGGCGGGAACCCTGTTCGGCAGGTCGTGCAACAGCTTGAAGCCGCGGCGGGGAGAAAAGTAATAAGAACGCCTTTCTGGAGGCACTCCGGGAGTGGCATTCTTAATATAGAGAATGGAAGAAAAGATGTCAAGGTCAAGGGGGAGGCAATACTCATAGCACAAGGAAATGGTCCCAACTACATTCATCGGATGGCGTTGGGATGGAGCTGGTCAATGGTGACGTTAAAATGATTCAACACCTCTACTATTAGGGGGTGCAGGGGAAGACGTAGGCCAGCCTCGAGCTGTTCCTGGAAAATCACTATATCATTGGGACCATGCTCCCAAGGAAAATTACCAAAGGGGAAACCGTAGATAAGGTCCCCGGGAAGGTGAAAATGGCGAACAAGAGATCTGAGTCTCCTCATCGTCATAGAGGAGGAACCGAAGATGTCGGGCTCTCTGCCCCAAGAGGTAGAAGCCACATCGCCGGAGGCCTCACGAGCCTGCTCCCAAGCTCCCCCCGAGCTCGAGGGGGCGCCGTCATTCTGGTCACCGTCCCGGGGATAAACGTGATACGGATACCCAGACATGATTGACAGAGTGAATGACTCACCAAAAAGATGAAACAGTGTGAACAGAAGAGCTCGGGCAGACTAGATGGATGCGCGACCTCAGAATCCAAAGACAGCAAATTAGCGTGAAGGAAAATGAGGCCTGGGGGCCCTCTTATTTAAAGCCACTGTGCCCCTAAACCAACGGCCCAGATTGAGACAAATCTGACAGTTCGCAGTCAAGCTGACCGCACATCTTTTAAAACCAAAATGTGACTGGCTGCATGTCTCCCATGATTGAGATAATGACGGTTGCACAACATCCAGAGTTAAAAGCCGCTTCGGCGCATTTCTCGGCATTCGAAGTGTCATAAATCTTTTGACTTCTGTGCATGCATTTAATGCGAACAGTCAACCAAGTTTGAACTTCAATCAAATCCACCTGTCCCACTTCATGAACTCCTCACGCTAAGGTAGCACTCTTAGCCCGAGGAGTGGGGGCAATTGATGAATGATGATTTGACCCGACCCCTTAAGACAATGACACGTGGACCTGACTCAGCACGAGCAACAACACAGCACCGCAGCCTGACTGTGACTAAGTAACGAGCCTGTAGGACAACTTGCTACGTCATAGCTCGCTGTAGGGGGAGCTCGCTACAGCAAGAGCTCGAGCTCCCTCGAGCTACCGAAAGGGAATACTCCAAGACTATCCCAACCTGCGAGCTAGGGTAACCAGCTCACTCCAACACTTAGGCAGAAAAACCGCCTCAAAGACAATCTTGAGAAGGGTCACCCCAAAGTACCGCTAGGAGCTCACTATGAAGTAGCTCGTGACAATATAGCTTGTTGTGTGACTGGGTAGCTCACAACTAAGCAACGTGATGCTCTCAAGGAAGCTTCTATCTGACAAAGACCGTACCCATCAGACTACGCCACGTCTCTCAACTGACGGCGCAGTCCCTGTCCATTCGGCAGACTGTACCCACGTCTCTCGACAGATGGTGGTGTGCCTGTCCTCCCGGGACGTGTCACCCATCCAATTGGGTAGTACCCTGCAGCGGTCACCTGCGCAGCCCTGACAGGTAACAGCTGCGACAGAAGCCTAGTGGCGGTTACGCCCGCTTTGACAATAACGCCTATATAAGAGCTCCCTAGTAAAAGGAAAGGGTCTCTCTCGAACATCAGGGACCTATCTG